TTTTTTTTTTTTTTTTAAAAAAGCAACCACCTCCTTGTAGTTTTTAATCCAACATGTATTACTCTTATTGCCTCAGGAGGAAAAATATCTCAGTTATGCATCAGAGGAAACCTGGTTCTCTTCAACAATGATGAAAAGTCGATGCTGTGAGCTCACCTGCTTGGTGGTCGAGCATCTCCATGGTTTTGTTTCCCGTCTGTTGGCTCTGGAAAAGAAACGAAAAGAAAAATGAAAGATCGCATCCTCACATAAGAGCAGACAGGAATAATTAAAAGGTAAAGTCATGTTAAAAATTAAACGATTTTGACCTTGCTAGGAAATATAAAATAAAATAAATGACAAGTTTTAACAAAAAAAGTTTCAACAACAAGGTAGATTCATAGTTTTCTACATTATTTGTGAAATAACACCTTTAAGCAAAATGAAACATTTTAGCATTTTCTTTCAGGTAGATAAAACAAGACCTGACTGAAAACATAAAAAAGAATAAAAACATCAAACGTCTCACCTCCTCTGCCATCTGCAGCATCCTCCTTGTGCTTTCCAGAGACTGGAAGGGAAAATATAGTTCAGATCATTTTTAGGACAATATTACCAAACTTTACTGTCACTGAAGCATTTCCTTCAGCGACTGACATTAATGGTGATAAAATTAAAGTGTCATTAATTACTGAATGACACTTCGTGACAACAGTCATTCATTCATAAAGACGCCTTCATGTTCATGACAGGCGTGATGACAGTGACATGTCAGTCTTATGCACATCACGTCACATAAAGTGTTACCAAAACATCCTCAAAAAATATATTCATATTAAGAAAATACTCAATCTACTTTGAAGTACTTGATTTGATTTTTTTTTTTCCTTCTTCCCAGAATTTTGCAGTCTCTCTGGAGCCGCACACAATGTCTGAAGCTGAAATACTCTAATTTTAACATGATTTTCCTTTTCCGGTTATTCCAGTTGGCAGACTCGGTAGGATTTTTGCAAATTATTTTGGATTACACTCAGAATACAAGCCCCTGAAGACTAAAATTGCCCCCCTGTGGTCTGAACTAATAAACATTGGCAGAGATTTCTGAATTTCATTGCCAACAAACTCCAGAGATAGAAACTTTTTGTGATCATAGATTTTCATAGGAAGGGCGATGGAGGAGGGCACAGAAATAACCAAAACACCAACTGGTTGATTAATACAACATATACAATTGTTTTTGAAGAATGAATCATGTACACTTCTTATTGATTGAATATAAGAGAAAAACAGGTTGGAGTCACTGATCAGGTAAAACTCACAAAAGTAAATAGACGAAAGAGTCAAGAAACAACGGTGGAAAGGAATGCAGTTGGTTCAGGTAAAAGCTACGCCCTTCATGCATCTATTAATAGGAAATGCTGCACAGAATCCCAGGAACTGCAGCAGCTTAGCACAACACTGCACAGTTGCTATCACTAATTCTTAGTTAACAACAGAGAGTCGTGAACAGATTCCTCATTTTCTCCGTTGCGTTTGCTCTGAATACATTCATCGGCGGGTTGAGAAACAGGCAAACACAAATTGGCTAACGGGACGCGTTCAGCTCAGCCAGGTTTCTGTTGACTTAGCCAGAACATGCCTTGTTTGGATGAACATTACATTATTGCTTCTGCAATCCTCCCACTTGTCCAGTAAAGCCGAAAATTGCTGCCAAAAGTTGCCAGATTGTCGTGGCGTCCCAAATCTTAGATATAGAACAGATTAGCTTTTAGCAGTTGTATCGGAAAGCTTTAATGGGAAAATATTGTTTATCCTAAATGAGATGGCAGAAAGCTACAATGAAAACTTTTCATGAACACATCTACCAGAAACACGTCTACAAAAAAATAGCTACAGCATGACTGTAATATGCCAGGATTACAAAGTGTCAAATGAAATTTGACAGAAAAACTGAAAAAGCTGTACTTTTAAGGTTAAATAACCTTTCAAATGTGCCTCAAAATGTATTCATACACCTTGAACTTTCACAAATTTCATTCTTTTATGTATATTGTTTGTTTTTTATTCTCGACAAGCCAACACAAAACATGGTTCATCAACCACAGGCAGCAAATTAGAAATTTGAAAAACAGTGTTTTTCTCGATGTTTTGCCAAAGAAAAACATTTTTTTGAAATGGTGATATGCATTTGTATTTAGAAGCAAATCTAGTTTTATGTCTCTGCCAGTTTTGAATATTTAGAAGATTTTTTTTTATTTTTTTAGAAAATTTTGCCCGTTTGTTTTTGCAAAATATCTCAAACTCCCAAAGATTAGACGGGTGCCGTAAGTACACATCAATATTCTGCTTTCCCAGAAATTTTCAACAGGATTTGGGTCTGGACTTGGATGAACCCATTCTAACAATTACGCTTGATCTATTGACAGCTGCTGTAGATTCCCCGTCCATGAAGAAGAAAAGCATCCCTGCAGCATGATGCTGCAACAACCAGGTTTTATTGTAGAGATTGTGAGTTAAAGGTTACATGAAAAGTGATTTTCTGTTTTTCTGACTAAAGCTCTTCTTGCCCAGCCTTTATAATCTTTACTGACCGCGTCTCACAAGGTTTACCATCCCAATTCTGCACACCTGACTGAACTGTCTGCAACAGATGGTTAGGATATCGCTTCATCACGTCAACCTGCTGTCAACATCTCCACAACTTTTTCCCTCAATTATCTGCAGATTCTTTTTATTCACCAATATTCTCTAGCAAACCTTTGATATCTTTGCAGAATTTCTGCCAAGAATAAACACAAATTTACCAACTTGTACATTTCTGAAAACAAAATGTTTTATTTATAGTGTATTAGAGTGAAGGGGCTAAATTCAAATGCATGCTTCTCTTTTAGATAAAAACACCCCCATGTCCCCCAAAAAGTCAGACTTTTCCTTATATTTCATAATTATTTGTCATTTAAATTAGTCGTTATCTTAGTACAATAAATTAACAGCTCAAGGTATATAAAATTTTTGCAGGGCACAGTATTTTTTACTGCATTTTAAACAATAAATTGTAATGTCCTGATACACAGTCAGTCATGCGTTGAGTGTTTAAGGTTTGACCAGTTACCCAAAGCCAGAATGGTTAGCAGAATTAGCAGCAGGACGTTCCCATGCCGACACGCCTCCTTAATCAACCAGGCAGCAGCACAAGGAAGCAGAAGAAAATGAAGAAAAAGAAGTAGTAGAAGAAGAAGAAGAAGGGTAGAAAGAAAACTGCAGGTTTAGTTTAAACACAGAGAGCAGGAAAACGCAGCTGAGACAAACAAGAGAAGTTTAGAAACGATACACATTAGAGCTGAGTATTTACTTCATCAGTTGATTATATGGTGTCCAGTGCTAGTTAAACTATCAGCTTCATAGTAAAGAAGCAGATTGAAATGAAAGTCAATCTGTGAAAAGCACCGCCAGGTCAGGAAGCTACCAGACTAAACCAGGAACCAAAACCTCACACCTTCCACGCTTTTATGAAGAAATAGTTTTTTCTCCCTGTCATGTTATGCAACAAATGGCTAAAAATATTGTTCCATAATATAATGGAGTTGTTTTGATTTTTTTCCCCCAATAATAGCCACATTTAAATTGTAATAATTTTCACATTTAGATCAAGTCTTCCTTTGCTTTTACCACAGGTAGCTCGATGAGGACAACATGTGGTTTTGGATCCGTTTAGCAAATCAATTTTCATCAATGCTTAGCTTTAGTGATGTAGGTGGAGGACTGTTTAGCCTTTACATGGAACCAGTACTTCCTATGTTTACGCAAGTACTTCACAGGAAGAACGCCTTCTGCTTTACATATTCATATTTTCCACCCACTTACATTCATTTCCACGTGGAAGTAAATTTGTTTGGCTCCTAAAATGAAACATCTGTTCTGTTTGTTTACTTTGCATAGCTATTGTGTTTGGTGTTCTCTGTTTAGAGAACTACTCAAAAGGTTCGCCAAAGATCTACACGAACATGCATTTCTGTTTTTGTGTTTTAATCTAAGGTTTTTTTTTTTTTGTTTTTTTTAAATAAATCTGACTGACATTTTCACTTTCTTGCCATGCTAGCGTGCAAATTGTTCACTGAAAGTTCACACACTTTAACTGTAAGGAGTATCCATGTACTCGTGTACATTTGTTCGATTTGAAGTGAATAGACTAAGCATCTAAAGCCTGTAGTGTGAGCATCCAAAACATTCTAGGTTTCATTTCATTCACCAAAAAATTGAGCATTTACTAAGAGAGAAACAAGGAAAGAACAGGACTCAGTACCTCATCAGTCAGCTGGTTGGCTCTGACAGCCATTTGCTCCACACTCATGTCGTCCATGTTGGTGCTGTCCTGTTTGGCGGCTCCGCCTGTGGCTCCAAGCTCAATATTCTGCGGCCTGAAGAGGGAGAATTGCAAGTCAGTAAAATAGTGACCGTTAACTGTGACTTTTATAAGATTTATGTGACCCTGAACCTGAAAACGATGAGTACAGAGAGCAAATTATCTATGACACCAAACATGCATATTGTCGATTCAACTCACCACATGTTAAATGATTATATTTTTAATCTAAGGGTTTCATTAAAAGAAACAAATGAAAAGGAGTAACATATTGGTGCAACTCTGACAGGCATATTAGCATCAACCAATAGTTTAAAGGTTACAAACATCACTAAAATGTTCTATTGCGCTATAATAATTAAGATGCTGAAGCAGCGGCTGCAGAGAAGCAACTCACTCTTTTATTCTATAAGGAGAAATATAAAAAAAGATGCACAATAAGCACTTGAAAGCTACTTAAAGCACATTTTGATGCTTTTGTTCAAAGAATGAAGCAAAATCAAAATCCGTATTTCAGTTCAAATTGTTTATCTTGCAACAGTTATTTTATACTATTTTAACAAGAGTAATAACTAGAACTGGACAATATGTTGCTTATTGATCATTATCTTAGTATCGTTCACATAATCAGTGTTGAAAAGAGCTGCCTGGACTGCAATGAGTGTTTGCTTATGATGCAAGAACCATTCATTCAGGTTCTCCTTGCCTGTAGTATATTTAGCCCTCAGTTTTACCTCTAAAATGTTTTAAAGATAAAACTTTTTTTTGTTTGTTTTATCTCTAACTTGGAGTCTCTGTTTTCTCAGGAACCAAATACAAAAATACAATAAAACCTTTTTTAATTGAATATGTTGTAAATTATTCTACCTTAGTAGGAACAATTTTTGCTTTGCTTCTTTTTTTAATTAAGTTCATAATATTTTACATTTCTAAGCCTTTACCCTGAAACCAGAGTCTCATACTCTCACTGTACTAGTCTCTGCTTTTATATTCTAGGAGGAGCGAGCACTACATGTACAAAAAAAAAAAAAAAATATAAATAAAAACAAGCATGAGACTCCTCTAGTGACAGTGTTTTGTGGGAAGATAAAAACGCAATCAAAGGAGTTTAAATGGCCTAAAATCCACATGACCTCCATGACTTAACATCCTGTAACATATCAGCTGACATATATGCTTATACAAATGTATATATATTTATATATGCTGCACACCAATATCTGCCAGCGGATAGTCGGGATGGTTTATCGACTGAGGTCTCACTTTTAATGCATCTATTAATTATTAAGCAGATAAGAGCTCCAAACACTTACTGGGTAGAAATCTGGAAATAAAAGGTTCACTTATCCATCTCGGCTCATGTTAAACTGATTACTTGACAGATGACTAAATGAAGCAGCTTGAACAGTAGGGAATTGTTTTTTTTCTTTTCTGATTGAAAACTCATCAGATTTACACCGATATGATTAGAAACATGCGAGTTAAAGCTGGCCTGTGGTGTAAAAGCGCAAGTCATACTGCGTGCTGCTAAACGACTTGCCTGAAATATGGAAGACAAATTAGATGACTAATATTTTAGACAAAGGTAATGAATCGTAGCATGTTCAGTGCTGACTCAGCTCATATTTGAGAGGGAAAGAGAAATGCAAAACTTAAACAAAGCAAGGTTTGCTTCTTAAGAAACAGCAGGAGGCTCAACACATTCTGCATTAGAAATGCACAGAGTGCATTTTAGATGCAGCGTAGCTGCAAAGGACTTGAAAGCTGTAAGTCAAGAAATAAACCTTGAGACTGAGTGCTGGGAACCAGAAAGATATTGCACAATTTAAAACTGCTACTGGAAGCTACAACAACTTTCAACAAACTTATGAGAATACTGATTACCACTGACTCACATTTTTCTGACTGTCTTCCTTCTTTAGTATTGCATAACATCCGCACCACTTCCCTTAAGATTTGCCATCTCTGCTAGAAAAACATACATCAGCTTTGGGTATTATGGGTAATTACAGTCCATCCAGTGGGCCAACTACATTATCAATATGCAGCCCTACCAAATATTACAGGCAGTCCTCTACTAAATTCAGCACACTCATTCCGTTACTTAGGATTCAATATGTTGACCTAAAAATATTTGATTAGCTGGCACACACAAGATTAAGTGCAGATAAGGCTGGTACTTTGCAGACTGATAATCTTATTTTCTTATGTGTCTAAAATAAATTAGACAAAAAATAAATAAAAAATCCAGGTTCTTCGATAGAGGGTAAAAAAAAATAAAAACTGAGGAACTAGATCATCCAAATTTATGCATCAAGGAACTTTGAGATCATTCAAATGTGTGCATTTAAATGCACTTCCTTAACCATTGTGATTTTTAAAGATTCCAGATGAAATGCACAAAATTAAAGGCTCCATTTAACTGGTCATCACTGATCAAGGAAAAGCTGAATGATTCTGATTGACTGGCGCATCTCTATAAATAAAACAAACAAAATTATGTCTTTTTGTTTCATCTTTGCGAGTTTTTCTGAGCTAAACTGTAATCTAGCTCCCTCTCCTCTTTCTGGCATCATGTCACTCAAACTTCTGGTATGCAGACTTGTTTACACCTTCATCAGCCTAAAACAGCAGCTGTGAAGGAGGTTAACTTTTGTGGTGGGTGAGAAGCACAATCAAAGCTCTGAGAGTTAGAGGAAGATTTGATGAAGGCTTTGCATGACTCCAAACAACAGGATTATAAAGGGGACATAAATGCAATGTGATCATATTCTAATAAATAATTAGGAACACGAACAAAACAAACTATGTGAAACGCATAAAAAGAGCGTAATCAGAATATTTCCTTTGAAGAAGATCAATAGTCAGAATATTGTTGTGTATGTAAACACAGCCATTGTTGTGGTGTCTCCCAATGTGACTTGTACCGGTTTAATTATTCATGATTTCAGCTCTTTTTATCTTCGGTTTAACTCTGAACACTGTTCTAATTTTCCTCATAGCTTACTTGTCTTGTTCAAGCATCATTTTATTTACCTACTTTAGATTATTATATTCATTTCCTTTTACATCCAGCATGTGCAGCTTCGTGTAGCAGGAACCAAGAAGCATGCTGCTTTTATGAAACACAGATTCACCCAGATATCGTCCGTTTCATAAATCCTGCATTGCATTCTCTGCAACATAAATTAGTAACACTCATATTTAAGACCTACTCCAAGATTTAGAATCCCCTGCAAAGCGCCGTAATAATTAACAAATGAAACATTACGACGGCTTACAAACGAAAAGCTGTTTGTCATTAAAAGCAGAGCGGAGACTGTACCTTTAAGATGAGAGACGACGCGCTCTCAGTATCACTTCGTGCAACAGCTGTGGTACTTTAACACCGCGTTCATTTATTTTTATTGTGACGAAGCATTTGCATACCAGATCACTTTAAAACAACAAGATTATATATGGCAACATTAAAATGCAAATAAGGTGCAACTCTGGTTCCTTTACCAGTGCTTGAGAATTATACGAAGTCTCAAACTATTGAAGCCCGACACCCACAGCAACAGTTTAGCCACTTCTGCCTGCGGATCATACGAGAACACAATAACTTCATGTTAGGCGGCTCAATGCAGGCTCTGTGTTCAGATCAACAATCAGACTCAACAGACTCTTGAGCATGTGTCATCAGGAAGCTGGGAGCTACGACTGCAGAGTCGATCAACTTGTTTCACTATGAATGAACTTTTTTAGGATTTACTGCTAAAAAGAAATTGATTTTAGTCAGGAAGTAAATGATAATGAGAATCAAATGATTACTTCCCTACCTGCAAGGCAAACATGGTTTAGCTGTCTGGGTGGTTTTCCTAATTCAGAAACCGACGGGTGTGAAAGGTGTGGCGTCAGTGGGATTTTGAGGCGATGCTTAATGATTTTGTTTGTTCCGTGTTGTGACACAACCACCTTGACACAAAGGTGACATGAGAATCAGCTCATGACGGGCTAAGATTCATCACAGACTGTTTTGTTCAGGGACGAGGACCAGTCAATCATAAACGCATACGCAAGTTCAGTTTTTTTTTCCTCTCAATTTGACCCCAAGGTGTTTAGATAACAATAAAGGAAGTACCGCTTTATTCATTTCTACATTTTTTCCGCTCTTGTCAGCATTTTTTCTTTTAAAGGTTCAAATGGCATTTTCCTGTTTTGCAAATAGCCCCCTGGACTTCAGATCTCCTGTCAAACCTACAGCAGAAAAAAAATAAAACTAAGGTGGAAAAATGGGTAGTCTGCTTGGCAGCCGGTTCAATGATTTAATGTTGTTGACTCTACATTTATCTCTTATTTTCCTTTTTCATGGACCAGAGAGCACATGTTTCACAGAAACTCAACAGCTTTTTTCTGACAGATCATTACACTCGGTATGACACAGACAGAAGTTTACATCTATAACACTGAAGGAGGATTTATCAGAAGCAACACGAGAAATTGAACATGTCGATAGGACTGTCAGGATCATTTCTGCTGGTGATTTAATGACGTAAAACTAAGTTTGACCAACAATTTATTCATCCATCAGTTTCAGATTACGTTACCCTCACTTGCCTTCACTCTTTCGTCATTAATTTAATAATCCCAAGAATTTAAAATGAGACATTTAGGAGGTTTTGTTCAGCTGATTTTGTACAAGTTAGGAGAAAAATTTTAATAATCGTTAAGGAGATAAACTGTGTTTATATGGAGCTTTATAGTGATAAAATAAACTCACGATACACAATCACAGAAAGTTGATTAGTGGGCCAATCACCAGAAGTCAACAATGTTTTCAATCTGAAGTCTCATTTTTGCCTTCAGACTTGCAAAACTAAATTTGTCTATAGTAATGTATGTTAGGTATGTTGGCCTCCAGAATCACCACTGGTTTAGACAATAGGTCACGTAATTAAGACTGGAAACACGCATACAAGTAGTTTTCTATTGTCTGCATTGTTATTCCGTGCATCTCCAGATCTGGAAAACGTCTAAATCAATATTTACTCTTTCACGACTGCAGCAGGACCAGATATTATCCATGTCTGAGATGATCTAATGGAGATACAAAATGTAAAGTTTGTAAAGACAAATGTTTTCAGAGCATGCATTACGCCAAGTAGGGGAGCCTCTTCTCTACCTACACACTGCCGCTCAGCTGGCTGAAAGAGGCTACATTTTTTTGTTTTTGTTCAACTTTGGCTGTTTGTAAATATTTCACGGACATTCAACGTTTCCCATCAAGGCGTTGCCATTTGATAATAATGTGATACACACTCTTTTATATTGTTGTGCAGAGAGCTTTGCTTCCCAAACGTGCTGCTGCACACTGCCGGTCAGCTGGATGAGCGAAGGCTACTACATTTTTAACCACAAAACAAATGTGGCTGTTTGGAAATGTTTATGGAGGAGAAAAACCATGGACAGTAATGCTGTGGAGATTACAGGACCACCTCCCATCGCTCTTAGTAAAATAACACCAATTTAGTTGGCAAGCTATGAGCCCAGGGTTCTGTCAAGCAGCCAAGTGCAGGCTGGCATCCAGAAAGCAAAGCTTGAATAATATCCAGTTGAACACCTGTTACCCTATAAAGATCAATAACCAAAAAAATAAATAAATATCTGCCCAATCTGCTTTTACTTAAAACTAAATCTAGCAGTTTATTCTATATTTTTTTGCTCAAGTCAATGTAGCAAATCAAAATAACAATAAATGTAAATGATACTACTGGAATAAATAATATAATTCAGCAGCAGTGGGAGTTTCAGTTTTAAATAAAAACTACATGATTCGAAACATTTGTAATTTTTGAGGTGAAACCGGACCAACTAATCAAATCTTCGTTACAATAACTTCAGTTCCAAACTCAAGAAACAGAGTAATGGACAAAAAACATACATTTTTGTGACTACGCTCTAGTTTATTCTTTAAGTACAATATGTTTCGAAAAACAATTGCCAATTGTATTTAGATAATGATTACTTTGATAATAAGCGTTGGTATGTTGTTTTTTTCCCTTCCCCATAATCCAAAAGCACAAGTCTCAAATAAGAAGTTACAAGACAGATTTTAATTATTTTTGTTGTCAGCCTAATTTAATAAACTAGCAGACACACGAGGAAAGATTTAACAAGCCTTAAGGACATACCCACTCATGTTGTAGGTCTTCACGGCACCAACAGAAAGTGGATTAAAAACAATGGCCTGAGCAGGTAGAGGCTTTTCTTGTTCTTCAGCCCAAACTTGTTCCTCCAGATCTTACTGATGAACAAAGTGACGTCTTTTCTTATCCTAGTCACGTTGCGGTAACAACTCTGTATAAAGCATTTCTTTCACTCTGACTGTGTCCATTTGTTCAAAGAATGAACAGTTTCATAAAAGTGGGTTTCTCATGTTTCATCAGGGTTAGTCACTATCATGGAGCAACAATTTGACCTATGACATCATGCTGAAAAGTCCCCAGCCTGGACGTTTTACTTTTACTTTTCAGTTTACAGATGATACATTTAGGGCCCAGGCTATGTTCCCCCCCAGGTAAACAAGCTCAATGGTTAAAATAAGGCTGGTTAATTAGGTCCACAGCCACATTTAAATTGAGGCAATACACCATCAACGCACCTGATAACAATTCAGTCAGGTATCGATCACATGAGGAACAGGTGCCGTTTGGCTGTGAGACAAATATTAACCAAACTAGTCTGAAGCAGGAAAGTCAAAAACACACCCAACACAAAGAAAAGTTGACCACGCCAACCCATAAAGCAAACTTTTAAAACACCCAAAAAATAGTTCTGGGGAGAGAGAGGGGAAAAGTGTCAAAATGTCCTTACATTTTTTAAATATGTTGTGGTTGCTCTCATATATCCTGGTTGGGAAAAGGAGACTGGTAGGGAACTCGTCAACCTAGCTAACTCCAGCTAGCTGGCTAGTTCCGCTTTCTTGTTAACTTAACGACGCCGCTCAAACTACGCCTAGAGGGAAAATGACCAGGTATTTGAAGAGACGGTTTAGACTTACTGTTAACCAGTTGAGGGGAAACTCCACCTTCTTCAAGGTATGTAAACTTGGCGCTGGTCACTCCTGGATTCCTCCACTGCCTCAGCTCCGCCGTCTACACGAAGGTAGAGGTATGTCGGTGAGGCGTTGGCGTGTCGTCGGAAATACCACCACTCATTAAGTTTGCAGTGACATACATTTTTTTTTATTAAATTTGTGCTCAATTGAAAAATACGTTTGAAAAACACATTAACAGTATACATATATTTGCTTTATTAGTTTTATTGAGCTTTATATTTACCACTCCTTCTCATGCTAGTCATATGCAAAGTGTTTGTCTTAGCTATTTTTTTTAGTTAGTTGCTCATTATTAATCGCAAAATTTCAAGTTACAAGTTTACTTGAATATGCCAAAAGCTACGTTAAGTTCGTACGTACTCTATGTGCCATGTACTTTTATTCGTAATAATAATACGAATAAATTATTATTGTAGCGTTAATAATAAGTACATGAACTGAACGCAGCACAATAAGTACATGAACGCAGCACATGAGAGCAGGCATGAGAGAGTATTTTCTACCCTCTGGAGTCATAAGATCCCAGAGGGTAGAAAATATAAAAAAGAGGCACTCCTCAGTTTCCCCACATGAGTGCAGCATTTACCCTTCACCCGGACCTGCCCCTGCCCCCCTCCAGTTCTCCCCTCTTCTCCTCCTGTGGGTATTTTACATGAAAACACAGCACCAGATATATTCCGTAGTGCTTCTGAGTGGTGCTCTGAAATCCAAGCCTCTAGTTCTGAATCTGCTGTATAATTCCCCAACTTTTTTGTGCTTTTAGCCACAAAAACCGTCGTCAAGGTGACTGCAAAGATAGGCAGACAGGCAGCCAATGTATCAGCTGACAATGACTAAAAGCCAAGAGTTTTTATCTCGGTAACTGTACCTAAGTGTTTTCCCACCTATGCAGCTAAATACTAACAAGATTTTATTTTTTTTTAAATCCATTTACAGTCTCAAGTTTGGACAAATTATCCTTCAAAGCTGCCCTCACCAGACTGCCCATATAGTGCCTGAATGATGACTCGCTCTCTTCGCCCATGTAACTTTTATAGAGTCTACATAGCATGCATTATTCAGCAATAACACCGAGACCATCTGGACTTCTGTGTGTGTTTTTGCCTGTGTGTCTACGGACGGGTGAGTGCTTCGTAGTTAACTTTCCTGCTGCCATCATTTCACGCCACATCCAACAGCGCTTGAAGAGCTAAGAATTAGTATCTCATCTATAATTACAGCTAAGGTGTAATGCGTGTGCTCTTCCACAGCAGATCCGTATGTGGAAGAGGAAGAAATGTAGAGTCAGAGGACGTGTATTGGATGGAGTCTAGCAGAATTGCACGCTCAGGATCAAGCTCTTTCATCACGTCGTTCCCCATTAATAGAAATGGGAGTGCTGCCCTAATTCCATAATTTCTAAATCATGCCTGTTAGTCGAATATGAGGAGACAAAGGTACAGGGGAGAGCGGAGAATAGATTAGTCTGCATCCTAATGATGTGTCAGGGAGAGACGGAGAGCGGAGGAACAAGAGATGAAGGGACGGATGGAGAGAAAGAGACTGGAAAAGAATCTTGAGAGGTTTCCATCTGGATTCCTTGGCTTTGTTTTCTGGCCGTTGCCAAAACCAACATCACACAGGCCAATTTTTTTTCCTTTTTCTGCTGATTCTTTTCCCCTTGTGTATTCCGGCCTAAAAAACGTGCCAAAATAATTAAATGGTTAATTAGATCTGGAAGAGAGTAACGGGGTTGCAGTTTTACACAGTGACTCGGTGCTGCGCTCGTTCTCGTGATTTCAAGCAGCACATCTGGTAATTTCTGGCTCCGCTCCAGTTGCATCACTCATCCATCTTTCCTCTCACAAGGGTTGAGATATGGGAATGTGGGAAATATTTCGAGGCCTTGCTTGATCGAGCTTAATTTTACATTGGGCTAATTCCGCCCGTACCTGATACTTGTCAGGACAAAGAATTGGCTGACCAAGCGTACATCTCAATATGAGGAGATAATTTCATTCCCTGCTCTCCTCCTCACCAGAGTACCCTCTTTTTTTTCCCGTTTGAATTGAGCTCTCATACGAGGCAATTTGTCTGAAACCGGAGACATCAATAGCCATTAGCCTGCTTTTCGAGGCCCAAACATGGCAAACTAAGGCTCATCTATTATTCATGCACCTCGCTTTCCCCTCCAAACAATGCTTCTTATATATTTTTTTGGTGCATCATGTTGCCAAAACTGACAAGTCAGTGGTTTCAAATAACACTTTTGAAACAAAGCTGCTGAATGTTTTACGCTAGCAGTAGGTCCGCTGGTGGAAGACAGACAATCGCGTCGCTCTGGTAATGTCTGGACTGATGAAAGCCTGCTGAGCTTAGAAAGCAAGGAGATCTTCAAGTGAAGGTTTAAAAATTTCAGCATGTTTGAAATCTACACCAGTAGGTCATTGTCCTACGTCAGTCAAAAGAACGAGGGAAGTGAGGTTGAAAGGGCTACTGCTGAAGAATGATCCTCATTATTTTTGCTCTTTGTTTTATTTTAATGAGATCCCCTTTATGAAGGGTAAGAACCATGGTGTTCAAAATCAGATGTTTTTTTTTTTTTGCATTGTCTTTTAAGGGTTTTAGCAAGACTCCCCACTGGGGAATTGCACTCACATCTCCAGATTGCACCCCACTAGCTGGACTAGTTGCTGGAAGACCAAAGGGAAGCTGAGTTCTTCAAGCTGCAGTTTGAATGTGAAATATTGGGCTGTCAAAGAAAATTATTTTTAACAAAAGGATTTGCAATGTTTACGGTGGCACATACAAGAAGACGGGTAGACTTTCACTCCACCGTGCAACGCCTGCTAGCAGAGCAAAATCCGAGTTGAGCGATGTTGTTTTTTGTTCTGACATCAGATCTAGATTTTTGATCTGTGGTGAGACAGGCTGTCTACAGCGTATTTCCACAGACTTGGCGAAATAGCCTGTGGCAACATGCGCCTGGTTTCAGACCATCTCTCATTTGTGCTCTAATTGGTAGATTACGTTGGAATCTGTTTTATCAAACGTATTTTTACTTCAACATAGGTTTGGAAGCTATCGAAGGAGTACAAAAACCAAAGTTTGTTCAACTTTAAGGTTTATTGTGTAAGCTGTTGCACGAAAGACTTTCTAAATTTATCAGAGCTCCACATCAACACAACGCTAAACTCTTGAGGAGTTTAGGGTTATGTTGGTAAATCCTCCTTGTGAAGGAAACAGGACGTTACAAAATTATACAGACCAAACCAGTTTTACTAGGGGATTCAATGAAAGGATACAAGCGAAAGAGGTTTTTCTGCTGAGAATGTAGCACACTGCAAATTGCGCAACAATTCCACCCGCTGCACCCAAGTCATAAACACATAATCCAAAATATCTCTGTGTTTGGGCACCAATCATTTTGAGCTGAACACACAGAGAACCAAAAGGTTGAAGTTGTTTTTATACTTGTAAATCTCACTGGAACTATTACGTAATCATATAAATGTCCCTCGCAAAGTAACTAAACACGTTAAGATTTTTTTTTTTACATTTTTGCCTTTTGTGATGGCCAAATAGCAAACACGTCATATTTGTTTTTGCTAGCAAAGAGAGAAAAATCCAAACCTTTTCCTTACACTTAGCAACTCCTCTTCTTTGTATTGCTCAAGCAAAGAAAAACCCCAATAAAACAAACTAAAGTTTGTGGTTGTATGACAAAACATACAAAAAATAAAAATCAAGGGAGGTGAACACTTTTGCAGAGCATTTTCTACGGGGTCATCTGAAGAAATCTTGTTCGCAAAATCAAAATAGTCTGTTTATATACCAGTCACTGCGAGGTGAACACACAGGGACTCTCGGGCCTCAAGTTGTTTAATTTTCATGAGTCTTGCTGCAACTATTATAAAATCATATTATGAAACTTACAAGACCGTGCTCAGGCTTTTTCCTCCTCATCTGTAAATATGATGCCAGGGCTTTTCTATGAGAGCCCAACAGGTGCACACTGCCTAACCTCAAACACTTCAGGTCGTCGTTCCCTGTAAGTTTAGTTCAGCTGAACAAAGTCATCCAAGAAGATCCCTGCTATATGTTCTTTTGTTTTCCACAGCTCTTATTTGATAAATCTAGTGAAAAGGGAGGGGGTGACTTGCAGTAAATGGCTGAGGCTGGTATCAAACCCCTAACCCGCTGTGGGACAGCCGCTCCATGTGGGGCGCACGGTCTAAGTGAACTACAGAGGCTCCCCGCAGATCCGGTTCTCCAGCCGTGCTGAAAAAAAAAAAAATCCAGAGTGCTCAGAAAATCAAACAAGCGCAACAACAGTGCTCAAAGACAGTGGAAAGAAATGCCAAAGAACAAAAGTGGATCCAAGAAACAGTTTGAGGAAAAAAAAATAAAATAAAAGGCTGTGAAATGCTTAAAGAAAACTGCTGGTGCAAACATTCTTCTTTGGAGCTAAGTGAGCTGTGAAACACGTCCTCATCTGGACATGTGCACGAATTATCTTCTGTAGGTATTTCTTGATAAAATAACATGAGAAATATTTCAAGAAATACTGGGAAAAAGTCTTTAAAAACTTTTGTAATATTATTTCACTTTATGTTTATTTTGTTTTATTTTATTTTAGAAAATCAGGCCTGGTCCAGGGTTGTATGTAATGATAGCAGAATTGCATTTTGGGGGCCCAGCTTAAAGTACGATCCTCTTAATCACACCAACTTTTAGAGAGTCGAGGATAATGAGAGGAAGTTTCATGAGACAGAAGTAGTCCCAGAAATATGACCACAGCAGAGCAGAATAAATTACACCATCATTGAAATAAGACTTAAAAATATACATTTCTAAATATAAAAGCCTTTCTTGGTATTCGTGAGGAAATATCACATTGTCACAATCTGATAATCTTGAGTAAATGTACTACAGTTTAATAGTGTCGAGACATTAAAGCTAGAATTTAAGATGATCTGTCATTCTTGTTTAATAGCAATACTTATTCTATTCATTTACGATGGAAAGACCTCCTTGCCATCTCCCGAATCCTAATTACAACTAAGGACTAAAATCTGGCTATTACAAAATGTCAACATTACTTAAAGTCAGAAAAAACCCCCATCTCAGTCAAATACTTCTATTCCAAATCTACTAGGGGTTTAAATAATTTTGGGGTAAATTATGTGTTTGAAAACATCTTGATAGTAATCTGGGGAAGGTAATTTTTAAAAATATTTTTGCTTTTTCAAATGGATTTCTCAACTAAAGAGGTTGAGAACTAATTTAGACAAATTTAGACTCAATTCAACCAAAATAAAGCATCTTTCTCTTTTTCAAACAGATAGGCTAAGCTGGTTTCTCAAACTCTGGTGTTTCTCTGACCTTGAGATTGTTGTGAGATTGTTAACCCTAGTCACCAGGACTCTTTGGAGATGTGGATGTGTAGGTAGGAAGAATATACCATGCTGGTTTGTTTTCTCTGCATGCCTCCCCACATCTTTGGCATCAATCAGAGCAGGAATGAAAGTGGTTTCAAGAAAGTACAGCCTGTTCGGCCCAAAATAGGCACTATATTTACGTGTTCTGGCCCAGTTTACTGGATATCTAGGTAGTTCAACAAAACTCTGTGCTCTGTGTTTTACCTCTATCACAATTTCTTTGCCTTAAACTTACCATGAGATATTACAAGTCTGAATTAGACACTCAGAATATATCCCGCTATTGCAAATCAAACAGATGCTTGATAACCTTCAGGTTTATTTGATAGAATGAGGGAAATTTTTCCTTCCAAGTGCCGCTGTAATTCATGCCTGCAATCACACGACAGAGAAAATAACAGCATGTTCTCTGGCATCTCATTGACTTTATAATGTAAAAAAGACTTTAAAACGTAAAAACTGTCTGGCAAAAACTTTTGAATTTTTTGAAGGCATTTCCTCCCTTAACGCTGGCATGTAGTTAAATCCAGAATTACACAGCTCACAATTGACAGATTCAGATTTAAAATGATTTTTCATTCAACAAAGACTTGTGTTTCTGATAGGGGTAATATTTTATTTACATTTTAGCTAAAAACAATAAATTAAAAATTAATCACTTAAACTCTTCTCAGTAATCAGTGGGGAAATCCTTACTGGCATTTCAGCATTTAAACTATTTTCATAATTACCAGCTTTTCCACGTTTCCATGGATTCCTAGTGTTCAGAAGGGCTCCCTTGCCATCACCCTAATCTTTAGTTTCCTCCAGAAAGTTAATTTTCCTGTCAGTCAGAAGAAACATTTTGATAAAATTAACCCTTTCATGCATGAATAATGAAATGCATGAAAGGGTCAGGATTTTTTTTCTAATATTTTTATTTTTATTTTTATTTTCTTAAGGCATGATAAAAAGGTAGGAAAAAAAAGTTTTGTATTTTTTATTTTTTTTTAGGTGATGAATTGTAATTTTCTCCACATACAAAGTTGTTATTTGAAAAATACACCAGCAGTATTGTTCTTTAGGGGTTATCTGATCATTTCTTTACCTGCAAGAGTCGTATACAGCAGAAGGAGGGACCGGGTCGGTGGGCATGCTTTTTTGTCTGTCGGCCATATTGGATTTAACAAAAATTATTTCTTGCATTTGCAGGTGATGGCCAGTAGTTAATAGTATATTTCATGATGCATTAGTGTCCACTTCAGTGGTCTGTGGGCATTTATAACATAAAAATCCACAAGAAGCACAAGAAAATGGCTTTTAGATAGCTGTCCACTGTAGTGACTGCTATGCATGAAAGGGTTAAAATATGACTGTAAGGCTACACCTGTGGAGGATTAACTGGATTAACTTAATACTGCTAACCAGTCTGAAATGTATGCAAGTGGTGTTTTTGAAACCTGTCCTGTGTAAACTCAGGTGAACATGGAGCCCACGGGGCCACCAGGAGCGCCGAAGAAGTCGCAGGGTTTGCTTACACCACGGGCCGGCTCCTGTGGGAATTAAGAAGCAACGGAAATGCAGTCAAGGAGAAATGAAAACTTGACACCGTTTTCTTGTGGTAACCACTTAGTATTATTTAAATGGTGTATTTTTAAAAATCTGATCATTTTATACAGAACATCTTCAAAGTAACCTGTTAACTCTATCTATAAAATCAATGTAGTGCAGTAAAAGACACAATATATCCCTCCAAAAATTGTAATACCGTGGAAAGCAACTGACCATCGAAATATTCAAGACAATTAAAACCCCGGAACAGCATTTGAAGACATGCTCTTTTGTTACTTCCCATCGTTGGTCAGTCACCATGCAGGAAATCTGATAGAAACACAAGAGGAAAGGCTATCAAGCTATTCTGTCTCCACGTTGTCAGCAGTTCAGATTAGCTGTCACTTCCCTGAGGGGGAAACAGCTGAAGATGAGAGAGGGCGATTTCTTCTGAATAATTTCATGCTTTGACTGGCAGAGCTCAATAATCTCCATTCCAGGACTGACGTCAGAGAAAGATGGACTGGGCAAATAAAGACCCAGGTGCAGTCTAATACATAAATACAATCATCTGCCCTTTGGGAAGGGGGGCGGGGGGAAGAAATGCATAAAACGAGAATGAATTCACATTTCCACTGAAGAAATTCCACTCAGGCGGGTTGTTTTCGAGTAGACAAAAGACAATCTTTATTTGTGTGTTTCTCTCCCCGAGCCGACTTCTGAGCACGCCACCGTCCCGACCGAACGACCCCGACATCGAAGGCCCGCCCTGAAAACACCACGAACAGAAAAGGAGACAAAACTCATACATGACGCTCGGACCCGGAGGCATCCTAAAGCCGCTACCAACTGTGGATCATGAACCGGCGGAGAAACAGAAGAAACGATAGAGGGACAGCATCAGTGGAACAGAAGAGAAGACACATTTTTTGTTGTTGTTGTTGTTGTAATCCTTCTGAGGCGATAACCCCATCACTGCATCCCACAAAGGAGTAATTAACAGTGATTTTTAAATGCTACAAAAATAAGATGGAATAGGGGAACAAGCTTTTCCCCTTGTTTGTGTTTTGTACACGTTTGCATGTCTTTGTAAATGTCTACAACTGCACTCTTTTTTATTTCTTTTTGCATGTATGTTGGCAAGTGTGGTTATCTGTTTATGGATTGTTACGTGTGTGCGTGTGTGTGTGTGCGTGTTCACAGTGCTTACTCTTTATGCTTGAGTCCCATCAAACACACTCTTTCTTTGACTGTTCGCTCTTGTCCATGCGGGCTTTCACTGTCGCTTTAAGTGTTTGTGTGTGTGTGTCTATGTCTGCGTGTGCATTTGTGTGTTTTTGTGATGCTACCTCACACACAGCTCGCTCACACGCCTCGCCTCATTTGCCACAGTCTATGTGCTTCCCTTATTGGTTTAACCCCCCGGACCCGGGATCAGCTTCAGTCCTTGTTTACGTCCGTCGTGATCCGAGTTGGGCTTCAGGGGCCGATTTCCAGTCAGTTTCGCCCTGCGGGTCCATTTATCTTTCCAGCCCAAGCTAATCCATCAACGACCGAGAGCCCAGACAGGAGAAACTATGTGAGGAAGGAGTCTGAATATTACCCCTCACTCCACCTCCCCCTTTCCCCTGCCTTTGATGTCTGAAAAAGTCTCAGGGAGAGCAAGAGAGTTGAAGCGGGATGTTTTCTGATTTTTCTTCTTTTTTTTCTCACCATGAAAAAATATATCAATAGAAACAAGTTTGATCTGAAGGTTTCACAGTGGTCATGCAACTTGAGTGTCACCTCCTTTTCTCACCTGCCCTCCCACCCTTCACCCCCCCGCCTTCTCGTCGAATCTCAGAGCCATTGATAAAATCCTGCCAATCCGAGAGAAGGTACTGTAAGTGACCACAGTCATGACAATACGGAGAAAAACAAAACAAAAAAAAAAACAACAACAAAGAAAATAACAAAGAGGTGGGTGGCCAGTGGTACATTCATACAAGAGAAAGTCCTGGTTCCAAAAGTCACCCGACCCAGACAACATTAGCTAGTGCTGGATACGCCTGTGCAGGCCAGGCCGTGATAAATGCTTTGTTTAGAAACACATAAAAGACAAAACACAGCCCACCTGAAAATCTACATCCCACCAAACCCACCCATGACGTCCCACCCCGTCCCCCCGCCCCGTTAAAACAGGCTATGGTTATACTTGTCGCCAAAATGCCAATTCAGAGCTCCAGGAAAGTCGTAGCAAACGCACACGGCTTGCGTTGTTTTGCCAAAAGTCTTTGTACCACTTGAACTTTTTCACAATTTGTCACATTGCATCAACCTAGATGTGTTTTACTGTTTTCGAGCAACACCAAGTAGTATAATTGTTCCAACGGTTTTTGCGCGTAAAAGTGTGAAAAGTGCGGCGCCGATTAGAATTCAACTCTCTTCTCACAGAGCTCTTTCAGTCCATCATCCGATGATGGAAAGAAACCAAATCTATCAAGAGATGAGTGTCCAACTATGCTGACATGCAAAAAAAAAAGCTGCAGAACATCTGAGACCGCCTTAAAAATACAACTGGAGACGCAGTGGAGGAGCTCAGATCAAAGTGTTCACATGTTAGAATGGCCCAGTCAAAGTCTAGGCCTAAATGCAATTAAGAATCTGTGTCAGGACTTGAAAATTGAGGTTTGCAGACTCTTCATCCAGTCTAATTGAACTGCAGGTATTTTACCATTAAGAATCAAACAAGCTGTTGTAGAAATGTGCAAAGCTGGCAGAGCTACAGCCCCAAAAGACATGGAGAGAAAGATGGAATGTTTCATTAAAAAACTAAAAAAACGTATGTCTTTTACTTCCACGTCACAATTATGTACTATGTTGCATTGTTCTACCGCGTAAAATGTCAGAAAAATACACTAAAACTTGTGGTTGGAGATTACGAAATTGTACAAAGCTGAAGGTGTATGAATAAGTTTTCTGGGCACTGCAGTAAGTTACACTTCTTAACTTACTGCAGCGAGATCTTTTTTTTTTTTTCCCATCAGCTGTATTCTTTCACACTTTTCTTTTCACATTGCAGCAAAGTCCAGGTCACTTTTCTCCTGCTCTCGTCGTAATTACTCTTATCCTCATTGCACTTTGGAGATGCTCTACGTCCTATTGAATTCAAATTTCAATGCGAGCTTGGCCACTTCCAATTCATAGATCAAGGAAGTAGCGAAAAACCAATTTTTGTGCATTCAGGCCTATCGTACGACGTCCCTCTCACCCCCCTCCCCTGCCGTGATGTGATCGGAGGATGGGGACTGCACTGGAACGACAAGTTTAATCATAGCCATGGCTACATCTAACCCCATCAGTGGGCAAGAGTCAAAAGTCAAAAAAGGACCCCCTGATATGAGTGCTGAGACATTTCTCTTGTGTTTTCAGCTAAAAGGTGCTGCTCCACCGAGGATTCAGGGATAAGAGAAGGAAAGGTAGCTTCCCAGACTGCCTTAAAAAAAAACAAAAAAAAAAACAAACATTGCAGGTAATCCAGGAAACGGTGTCTGTGGCTGGGCGCCATAAAAGGGGGCAGGCAGTGGAGGGTGGTTGGTGGTCATACTGCAGGTGGAAGTGGGAAGAAGAAGGAGGGTGGAGGACAGAGGGCTTCCCTGAGGGGTGGTGGATTTAGAGGGACAGCCAGCCCAGCCCATCATCCCGGGATGGGCGCTCCGGGAAGAGGAGGAAGATGGGGGCGGGTGGGGTAGTCACAGCCTGAAGACGGGTCCCAGGACGAGCGGGGCCAGAGCCGCTAACAGAACCGCCCACCAGCCTGCTGCGCCGGAGCCCGGACCTCCGTCGGTCAGGAACGGCTCCGGAGAATCGTATCCCGACCCATCTGGAACAGAGGCAAAGAGAAGAAAAAGAAAACGACAAAATATCTGAACCGAGAAGGACACGCAGACAGATGCAAAAAAAAAAAATAAGACAGACTTTAAAACAAAACAGAAAAAAAAACAACAAAGGATAGACAAGTGGATCTGTCAGGGTGGGGTGGAAGACTGAAAGCGAGTGACAAATCACAAAAAATACCCCTCTTCATCCTTGAACAGCTAATGAAAGGCAAAGAGTACACAGCAGAAAGAAATGCAGAGCCGAAAAGAGGGAGACGAAGAAGACGACAGCAACAGAGCTCTGCAGGGGGGTTAACCAACCTAATTACAGTTTAATCACAGAGACTCTGAATCTGGAGCAGCTGACACTCACACACACTCACACACACATCCGCTCACACAGCACAGATATGAAACACAGCTCACTCACACAGTGACAGCATTTCACCGAGGAGATGAAAGTTGCAATGTCAGACAGATTACTTCAACTGCACACAGATAAAAAAAAACAAAAAAAAAAACAACAGAAACTTAATGAAAAGCAGCAGCAATGACAATAAAAGAACGTATGTTGTATCAGTAATAATGTAGGAGAGATTTTTCTTCCTCTGTAGCGGAGTATGGAATGATCTGAGTCTGGAAAGCTGTGAGAAAAAAAAAAGGAAAAAAGCTGACATTCCTTTGTGATGATCTTCAAAGCCGTGCCGTTGTCTGGTTTGATTCTTTCAATCAGGTTTATTTTTGAACCCTCCTGAGGTCAAATTGGTATTAGAACAAATGCACATGTAATTTTTATTTTTTTTAAATAGTGGAGGTGTAGTGTAACGTAAGCCAGAATGTGATCCCCATGTATGTTAGGCTTCCTTTGAGGTATTTTTAAACGGTAGAATCAGAGGCCGACATGGAAGGAACACTTGTGAGAGCGCCGAGCCCAATCTGCACCCAGGAATCCATTTTGGAAATAGATTATTTTTATTTTATTGGAAAAAAAAAAAAAAAGCAAGGCAGCAAAGTAGCGCCTCATCTTCACATTTAGAAACAAGCCTGCCACATTTAGAAAAACAAATCAATAATTAATCTGTTACGTAAAAGTCACCAATGTTACAAAACTCATGCGGTACTCTTCGGAAGTACTTACACCCCTTAATTTTTATTTCATATTTCGCCACAATATAATCGCAAACATTTATATTTTATTGGCAAATGCAGCCTTCTGGAAGATTTTATGTGGCCTCTGACCACAGAGTGAGGCGACTATGACCTGGACAATTTTTACATTTCTTTTAGGTCAACAGACAAATTAAATCGGCCAAAAATGAAGAAAATGGTCTGGTTCAACACAAGTTTCTTATCCATTGAGTAGATTTTTGCATTTATCATGATTTTATAATATTTTAGAACTGGGGGTGCTGTGGTTCGATTCCTGGTCTGGTGACCAT